CTTCAGGCAAGTGCAAGACGCCGGCAGGGAGAGCGAACCCCCCCCAGGACTAGTGACAACGGACTCGTTTCTTCCAGAACTGGACTTCTAAGCACAACAAACGCAGGCACATCTGACCTGGAGAAGGCAGAATTTGGAAAGGGTTACAACCAGGGAGAGCTGCATCTGCATCTCCTCAGCTGGAAGGGAAGCAGGACCCCATGCCATGGCTATGAAAAGCCGCTGCTAAGCATTACCAACGCAGATGGGTTTATCAACAACACTCTATGCTTTAGATGGCCATTAGCTAGCTCAGCGTGGTCAAAGCAGTCATTTCCACAGCCCCAGGACAGCACTAAGGTGCCCATTCCCACTTTGGGGCATCCCAGTTTGGACTCTCATCATGCAGGCAAGAAGCTGATGGCGAGCAGCTTTGGGTGCACAGGGCACATTCCTCTGCGGTGGGATGGGAGGAGGACTAAGGCGGCTGCTGACTGATGGGTGAAAGCAAACACAACGTAAGGAGCAGCACCGACACTCCTGGGAGTGGCTGATGGCTGATCAGAAGTGGTCCAGGTGGGTCATGGCTGGGAAGGTTCCCGGGTGCTCCAACGCTCAGATCATGGAAAGCGCTACGGTGACCCTGGATTAGGGTGAGTGGCTGCACACCAAAATATCTTAGAGGGCACGCGCCTGCTGACGAGGGAAAAGCCTTTGTATCCGAGCGGTTGAGCATCTTTCCTACCCTCCTCCTATCTTCAGGACTTCCATGTACACTCACAGATTCCAGAGGATCACAGCGGGAGAGCATCCCCGTACGTGCTCTGCCCGCTGCACGGCGCTGGGGACAAGTGGGGCTCCTACGGGCAGGACCAGAGCGCTGCCATGTGCTGCCGCGAGTGCCCTGGGAGGTGTCAAGCCGAGCACTTGACCATGGCAAGGCCACACAAGCTGGACGAGAGCCTGATCCATGCTGCAGTTAGGTGGTACCATCTTCTGCTGAGGGTCTGGTGGCTGAAAGAGACTTACTGCTCTGAGTGGGAGGATGAGGGCAAACTCTTCAGCACCCACCATGGTCCAACCTGGCAGGGCTAGCGATGGCTGTCACCAGCCCCGTGGCACTCACCGCTCCAAAGCCGCAGTGACAATTTGCTCCGAGGGCTGCGCTTGTACCGCCCGTCTAAAACAGACCCCAAATCAGCCACGAAAGCACACAGAGCTGCCTGCTTCAACCCTGCGTGAACTGCCTGAAAGACAAGAGGAAGCTTTGCTCCACGTGAAGCCTAGGGCGTATCTTTAACAGCCCAGCCCGAGCTGATGGAGGTCGCTTGGCACCTGAACGGGGCTGCGAAGCCAACATGCCAGAGCGCTGCTTCAACCCTGCTCCCGGCCAGGGCGATCGGTAAGGCAGGACCTGGGGTCTTTACAGGTGGCATCTTGAAATTTATCCCGGGATGAAGCCACTGTGCCTGGGCAGCCCTGCTGCAAAGCAGCGTAGGCTTCTTCTAGGAAGACAACCTCTGCTCAGCTGGCTGTGTGCTGCATCTAGGGCTACCAGCTCCCTCAGCTCACTTTGAATTTGTTCATTGGCCTCATGGCTAAATTGTACGCTTTAAATACAAAAGCTATTAGGACTGAGAAGGTCTGAAGCACATACTGGTTTTTAGACTTTTATTTCAGGAAAAGATTAAAGAATTAAAATAGGAGCTGCCCTGCTGACAAGAAGAGTTGAATTCAAGAAGCTGATAAAAAAGGAGCATTATATGCATTGAGCACTGTGCATTTTCAGTCAATATTGGCTCTACTTTCTACTCTACTTTCCTTTGACTAGGAAAAGGGAGTTTCACATGCGCACAGACCCTGGGATACACGGGACTCAATGAGAGGAAGGGAGTAACAGCAAAAAGAGAGTGCTGGGCTTGATCTAACAGAGGCAAGAAAGTGATCTTACAGCTCGGCCCCCGAAACACCGACTCCGACCACCAGCGAGACGGGAGGCAAAGACACGCCGACGGGGCGGACCCGATGGTGCACTTGAGTATCTGCAGCTCCCTATACACAACCACCTGGGCAACCACCAAAGCTCGCCGGGCTTTGGCATCGCCTACATTCAGGATACGGCACAGTCACGGGGCAGGAGAATCATTTCTTGCATCCTTCTCCAGCGAGATGTCAGTGTTGTACCTCCAGGCTGCGTACGCCGGCACAGACTTGCGCTCCCTGACAGCTTCCCCCAGGCTTTCCCCCCTTGTAGGTGCAAGTAATGCAATTGAGATCAATGGTTAATTAGGCTCCTGGCGTGCTCTAAGCACTGGGTCTCTTGACAGCAGTAAGAGCTGGGTACGGCCGACACCACCCAGGCCCTGCTTGCGTACCAAAACGGTTGGTACGACAGAGCTAGCTTATTAACAGGCTACTGAGCCTTAATACTGACACTTAGTGTAATGGTTTACAGTAGAGGAAGGATTGTCCTACAAAGCGCCGAAGAGATGGGGCGGGGGGGCGGAACCCCACCCCGATCCCTTCCTCTCCCTCTCAAGAGTCTCTGGAGCATCTCACAAGCAGGGAAAGGAGCTGGAGAGGTGAGAGGGTGGTGGGGGGCACCGCCACTGTGGCACTGGGTCCCGTCAGGGGCGTCAAGACGAATGACAGCAAGGACAGTCGTAAGGAACGAGAGACAAACGGTGCTGGTGCTGTGCTGCCTCAAGCTGGGAGGTGCGCGTGGTCAAGCGGAGCGGGGAGAACTAGTCTTTCTTCAAGTCCCTGGATTCAAAAAGCTTCAGGCGTTCTTGCACAGTCAGGCCTTCCTTCAGACTCTGGGAGAGACAAAAGACAGACAGGGTCGGAGACGGGCGGGCAGGAGGCAGCGGCGGGCATGTGGCACACAGAAAGGGTGCGATGCTCAGGCAAAGGAGACGTGGGCAGCGGGAGAAGGGCCTCGGTGGCGGAGAGATTAGTGGGACACGCTAAGAGAAAACACACGGTTATGGAGGGCAGTTACTGGTGAATGGTGCCTAGAGAGAGGGTGAGATTGCAAATGAACCCAGCGGCGTACCAGAAGCAAATGAGAGGTACACCATGCCGCAAGCGGGATTAGCTCGACTCAGAAAACGAATGCCGGAGCCTGCGGTGCAGCAGTGGGTGGGGGAAGTTCAGCAGAGCTCCGACACTGCAGGAGCTCCGGACAGGTCAGTTCGGATCTGCTACACTAAAGCACCACGGTGCTGAGCAGGACCTGCCCACCAGTCCTGCCTGCCTGCCTGCGGTACGGCAGCGCCAACCAAATGTCTGCCTATCATCTGGGACGGTCCTGGCTCCGCTCCATGTGCAGGCTTTGCTTAAGCAGCCCTGGAAACTGCGTTTTTTTGTTGCCAGTGACAATCCCACCCTTTCTCTAACCCCAGCCTGGGGGCTCTCCCAAGCCAAAGCTGCCTCTACTGCACAGGGTTAGACAGAGGACTTGCTAAATGCTTGCTTCAGGTCTAGCAGGATCTGACGGCTGAGCAGATGCAGCATCCAGACTTCAAGGCACAACACTCAGTCAGCCAACAGAAAAGCCTGCCCTGCGAGCCCTCAGCATTTGGATTTGTGAAACCTTTTTGCCTACACGTAGGGACCCAAGAGAACGGCAACAGGAGGGGTACAAACCCAGAAGCAAATTGCTCGACCCCTGTACGACAGCTTTAACCTGAAGCTAGCCCGAGGAGACGCACAAGCCTAAAGCCAGCCTTCCCTCCTTCCTGCAGCCCCAAAACTGTGGCGTAAAAGTTTCAGGGGAGAAGAGCATCAGACAGTGAATTGTCCCTGCTTGGTGCTGCTGGGGAGGCACAGACATCTCCCTACCCAACAGCCAGGCCCAGAGAGCAACGGCTCTGCCCCTGCGCGCTGCAAAGGCGGTCGCTGCCGGGACAGGCAGGCAGCTGCCTGCAAGCCCACTCCTTGCAACTTCCAAGGAATTCACTCTGCAGCTGGAACATGATTTGCTTTACAAACCAAGACACAGCTTCAAAAGGCACAGACCTGAATGCAAAGCCCCTTTTATGAGCAGGCAGCCATCTCCCCTTTTGCTTTTACTTCCCTGACCGTGGTGCCAGAGGACTGTACAATCACAGCAGCAAGTTAGACTTTTGGGCTGGGTTTTCTTTAACGTGTGTTTATCAAGGCAGGACTCCATGATAAACTTGCCCCGAGGCTGTGCAGATTCCCATGGTTACTGTATTTCTTTAAATGTTTCTCCTCCCACAGGTCCACAAATACAGAACAGCTTTGCGAAGCAGCACGGAAATGAAAGCACTAAAATGGATTGGTTTGAATTTACAGATGCTGTGTGCTTTCTTTTCACCGGGCAGCAGAGTCTCTTGGGATGCGAGCCTCGGAGCACACACTTCCTAAAGGAAGTTTACTTTGGGCCTCTTTAAATGGGCAGCAACTCGTGCATTCCAGTTTATACATCTGATTTCTCATTAGACGGAAGGAGACAACAGAAACCATTAGACTCTTCTGCCTGATGGTACAAATTCCAGCAAATTCACCCCTTAAGCACTCTCACAACCCATTGGAGTTGCTGATGAGGGGAGCCTGATGAAGGGAGACTAATGTAGGATGAAATCGGTGACAAAGGGATCCTCCATCAGACTTCCTGGGGCTCTCCAGCCACCCCTCTGCCACTGTGCTGGGGAGCTCCCCTCTTTTCTCTAACCTCCTTCTGCAGGTGCTCTAACCTCAGTCTTTCCCATGGGCCACTAAATTAACTATTGCTCCAGTTTTACTCGAGAGATCTGGGTCATTAGGATCGGCCTCGTTTCTCATCAGTTCCCTGCTTTTGCTGGATGAGCTTGGAAGCCTCAGGCCAGGGTGTGGGATGGAGATGCAGTGCCAAGGGATGGAGAGCAGGGGGGTGGACACCAGCGAGCTGGAGGAAGCCTGGAGAGCAGGAGGAGGTTACTGGGCAAGGAAGAATCTTTTGCTCAGGCACGGATCACCCTAACGAAGCAGCAAGTATAGGTAAAGGAAATTAAGGGCAGCCCAGGACATCCCCTCTGCCACTGAGACGGGGGCCACCATTTTACATGCTACAGGCCTTTGTGGGAAATGCATTTATAGGCATCACTGACCCACTCCTCCGCCTGGCTAACAGCAAAACGGCTGTTTTTCCTACAAGACCTGGATGTTGCTGAAGTTTAGTCTGAGGCATGCAGAGTCATTCAAGCATGCACACTCAGTGTCCCACGCTCCCAACACAGCAAACAGGAAAACGTGCCCCACCGCGTCCAAATTTTCTCCGTGATGGTTAGCTGTGTTGGCGAGGGTGGGAGGAGCAGGAAGAAGAGAAAGCCATATTCCCCAGGGAAGAGCCAGACAGTCTGCATTTCATATGGATCTTGGGTACACTGACTTCTCCCCTCCCCTTCCCCCTCCCCCAGTAAAACAATTAGCCGTAAATAAACCAGTCAGTCATTAAGAGCAGGGCTCTGTGTGAGCAGTGCATGCAAAAGTGGGCCGCTCCAGTGGGCAGCTGCGTCGGTTGGTGGGTGCCGGTTTGTTTACCTACGTGGCAGGGAACCTGGACTCGGGTTCATTTCAGTTATCCCATGAGACCTGCTCAATAACGGACTGTTGAAGGAAAAAGCAAAAAAAAGAAAAAACAAAACAAAACAAGAAGCTCATAAATCCTAAATGCATTGGCGTTCGCGCAGCCCCAGCCCCCCGGCCCCGGCAGCGATGCGAGCAGGCAGCGCGCCCCGGCAGAGCCCATGCTTGCTCTCCTCTCCTCCTTCCCCCACCAAGCAACACACAGGAGGGAACCGCAGGATAAGTGGTCTGAGTTGGAAGTGGTGAAGGGAAACCCAACATCAGACCTGGCCCAGCAGGTCTGGGCTGCCCCTGAAACGCAGAGAGATGCTCTCCGTATTTACTCGGTGCAGCACAGACACCCCAAGCTGATGACCCGCTGCTCGCAGAGCTCGGGTGGTGGCTGTTTCCCCAGCACGGACATCGAGCTAGAAGCCTTTTGCCTGCCCGGCTTCTCACTCTGCCCAAGGTCCCAACCACTTCAAAACATCAGCATGAGACACCAGGTATCCAGTGGCGAGAGGCAACGCAGGTTTTGCCCAGTTGATCTTCCTTCCAACTGACCTACATTTAACGATGACTTCGGAGCGGCTTTCTTTGCCCTTTTTATCCCTGTGGTCCCACAGGAACAGCCAGTGTGTAACATGATGTAACTCTGGCTGTCAAGCAGGCGAGCTTGGCACAGCATTGCTGGGCTTTGGGGCCAACAGCAAGTACAGAACGGCCAAAGAAACACAGGGCCATCTGCACCATGTTAACACACAAGCAAAGCATGTTAAATACGCCCAGGACCAAGGCATCGTTGTTCCATATAAAGACCAAAAAAATCTTGCAGTGATGAACACTAAAACCTAGAATGATGTGCACATTTCCACCTATTGACACCACCTAAATTTCAACTGAAAATGGGGAGCAAATACTGGCAGAGTCCTCCTGTGAAAGACCAAAGAACAGGGTGAATGTCATCCTTTTTTTTCCAAGCAGGGAGCAGCTTCACGCCTCGATCTCAGCAGGGTCAGGAGTGTGTGTGCCCTGCCGGGCATCGCGGGGGGGAGCGGGCGCTGCCTGGCTGCACAGCCAGCCCTTTCGCAGTTGAAAGCTTGTTTTTCTTCCCAGTGCCATCCAGGCTAGCACTAGCGCTTGGGAAATTCTCGGTTTTCTTCCCCTACCAATTTCTTCCCACTTGAGACCCTCACTGGAGAGTAATGCTGGGCATTCCCATCACACAGGGCAGGAGATCTGAGCTCACCTTTGACCTGATATTCCTTAATTGCCGGCTAACACTGGATCTGTCTTTCTTCAAGAAATCAGGGTTGCTTTTTGATTTCATAATATCTGGGAAGAAGCAAAAGAGACAGCGTTAGTGTGGTGCCCACTGCCTTCCTCCAAGGTGCAGGGCTGGGGCTCTTCTGCCCTCCCAAGCGCCCCGACGAGCCCGACTGAAGCAGCTCTGCCGTAAGGGCAGAGGGGACTCTCGGGGGTCTCTGCTCCCCTGCATCATGTGCAACGTGAGGTTTTCCCAAGACAAAATGCCAGAAGGCTTTCAAAGCCCATCAGCTTCCCATCTGTGGGCTGGAAGGAGGAATTGCCACGGGAGGGCAGCTCCGGCAAGACTGTCTGCAAGGAGTGGAGTGGGGAGCAGCATGGAAAAGCAAAAAAAGCACCATGTCTTACACTCGGACCCATTACTGCCCAAGGGGTTATATGCCAGGATGCATGCGTTCGCTTGGGAAACACCCAGTTGCCTAGAGCTGCTGGAGGAGACTGACCATATCCCGATACAGTGGTGTTCACAGGGGATTTCTCTCCCTGAGCTTCTGTGGCTGCTTTCAGCTGCTCTTTCAACCTGCTGATATCACAGTCTGCCTTGGCCTTCACGATGCTCAGCTCCGTGTAGATGTCTTTGTACTTGTCGCTGGCGTATTTCTTATCCTGGCAAAGGAACAAGAACAACCCAATGGAGTCAGACAGACAGCAGGAGCTGAGGGGTTTGCGAATGCACTGAAGAGGAGCTTGGCAAATGCCGACGGACGAAGAGCCGGCAGTGAGGAGAAGTGCTTGGCCGGGGCAACGCACGCATTTCACACACACTCTCGAGGCCACCTCTGACAGCGGTACGGGACTTGAGAGAAGCAGAAAGCTGCGAGCTCAGCAGCGAGCACACAGCGCTGCCCGTGCATGCAGCCCCTTCGTTACGTGATTACTTGTTTGTGGGTTTTAATTTTAGCAGAGACACGGAATTCAAGCAGAATTCCCAGAAACGGCCTTGGCAAAGAGGCCATCCAGAGCAAACCAGATGCAATGCTGGGAGGCTGGGCAGATCTCTAACACTGATTATTTTTGCCATTTAAATCTGATCTGATGTGACAGGAAATGGGGAAAAAACACTGGAGGGGACGTTTTCCCACAGTCTCCCTTGTGGGGGTAAGTCCTAAGCTGATACAGTCATGATGACACCAAAACTGATGGTTTACTGATGACACCAAAACGAGTATTCAGTTCCATTCAGGGGAAAAACTAAATACTGTTTCAAATCTGGGTATAAGCTGAAATCTAAGCACACACACATAGGAGCAGAGCACAGCCCGATTTTGCAGAAACATCCCTGACATTACCCTCAGTGCTGTCTGCAGCTCGTCTTTGAGGGAGCTGATCTCCTGCTTCAGGTACTGGATTTCTGATTCTTTGACCCGCAGCAGGACCTGTGGGAAGAAAAGCAGCGCATGTTTGCACCCAAGCAGACGCAGCGTGATCCCAAGATGCTAGCCCGCTGTGCCCGGTGAAAATCAAGCCAGGGCTGGAGGTTCAGCCTGGTGCTGGATCCATTCCAGCACCATGAAGCTGCTGGTTCACCCATCTTCTGGTTCATGCAAGGAAATTACTCCTGGGTCTCTTGGGCACTTGCTGAAGCTTGCACCGCTGATGTGCTCCCTGCATACCCCTTGGTTTCCATCCCCACTGCTTTGCGTGGACTGGATCCCAGGGGACAAGCAGGGGATGGAGAAGGAAGCGCGGGTGTCTGGCTCGGCATGGTGAGAAGGGCACAGATCAGGACTTCAAAAGCTCCTGGCCCCATTGCACCCCACAATGCACAGTGCTGACCCGATGCACGGAGGGATAGCTGGCTATGGGATGTTCCCAGGGGTCCACGGGCACTTGTGCCCACCAATACTGCTCCTTCGGCAGGGCAGCGGCAGAGCTCACCTCCAGCTCATAGGCGTCCTTGCCCTGTGTGAGAGGCGATCCAGCAGCCTCCCCCCCGCCCTCCCCGGTCAGGAGGGTCCGCAATCGCGTGATCTCCGCAGCCAGGCGGTTATTCAGCTCCTGGGAAGAGGAGAAGAGCCGTTGTGGGAAGGAGGAGCGTGGCCACAGCGCGGAGCCCACCCTGTTTGCCCGTTGGGCTGTTGGACCCTCACCCCCTGCTCGTGCCGACTACCCCGGGCACGGGGGGGACCCTGACCTGGTTGTGGGCGTTGAGCTCCTGGTTCTCCCGCTGGCACTGGCGGAGGGCCTGCCTCTCAGCCTCCAGCGCCTGCGCCAGGTGGGCGTTCTCCAAACACTTCTGCGAATACTGCTCCGAAAGCACCTCCAGCTCCCGCTGCACCGACTGCAGCTCCTCCCTGGTAAAAACACACGCCGGGTAGTGCCCTCCCCACACACACCTATCCATGCCCACTCTTTCTCCAGCTCCCCAGGACAACCCAACAGGGATCTAAGCACTGAGGAGGAGGAGGACTTGCATACTCCCTTTAGGAAAAACTTCAAGCCCAGAGCGAGCCAACCCTTCCCTCTCCTGGCACAGGGGTGCTTGGGCACCAAAGGGGACAGGAGGTCTTTTGCTAGGAGGCTGAACAGTAGGACTTCTTCAGGTTTCAAAAAACTGAGCTGAGATCTATCAAGTTTGCTCTAGGCGCTCAGGACCAGGTTTATTTGCACACCTATGCATCTGATGTAGATGCATCAAGGTTAATAAAGCTGCTCAGTTGTTTTGCTCGGCTCCCGTGTGAGGACAGCCTTGCCATGAAAAGCTAAATGCTTTCTCTTCACCTGGTTAGATTTGGTTGAGCAATCCTGCTGCTGCAGCTACATGAAAACCAACACACTGTCTGCACATCTGCTACTTTTGGTGACCATAAAGCAGCTGAATTTGGGTAGTGTGGGGCCATTGACCTGGAGCCTGAAAGATTATGGGCAACGAGGAGCCTCTGATGGGTGCAGCTGGGTTGGGACCAAGGGAAGAGGTCCCTGCAATGACAGGTCTGCCACTAACTCATTGCCAAAATCAAAGCAGAGAAAGGGGTCTCCCACACGCGTCATCTCCCGGTGAGACACAGCAACAGACAGAGGATGATGATGGTCTTACAGGTATTGCCTTCGGAGGGCCTCGATGTCGGCATTGACGCTGCTGATCTGGGAGCGCTGGGACTTCTCCAGCTCTCGCTCCAGCTCCTCCCGGTGTGCGTTCTTCATGGCTTCGATGGCTGTGTGGGACAGCACAGTGTCAGCACCCAGCACCGCTCCACCCAAGGGTGTTCATTTCTTGATTTTTTTGTTTGTTTTTTTAAAGGAACAAAAACCGAGTCATCCCAGTGAACCTCCCACTGCTTCGCAGGTCCTTCAGTCTGTGCCCCTGCCTGAAAAGCAGCAAAGGGATTTCTGCAAATCCCACTTTTTGATAGTCTGAACGACTGTGCAGTTCACAGGTTTCCTGGATTGTGCGACTCCTAATGCAGAGACCCTGGGCTCCAGCACTTTAAAACTCCCTGGGACACTGAAGAACGAGTTCAGTGTCAAATTGGCAATAAATTAACCACAGGAATGACTAACACCTTTCTGAGATGGAACAGAAAATGGATCAGACTCTGCTACAGCCAAGGAGAGGGGTACCAAGCCTGGAGAAGGACTGGTAGATGGGCCTCCATCTAAAACATCTCTCCTACCAGCCCTTTCCCACCTCCCTGTGATCCCCACCCAGCCCTTATCCCACCCCACGCTCTGCTCCTCTATTCTGGAGCAAACACCATCCCCATGTCCCCATCAACACGGAGCTGCCCCACCGTGGGGGACCCTCTGGCATGTCCCCATACCTGAAATGGTGGCAGCCGTTTCTTCTGCCAGCAGGCGATCCTTCTCCTCTCGCAGCTTCTCCAGCTCCCGCTGGTGCTGCCGCTGCAGGTCCTCAATCTTCTTCTGGTGCGTCTCCTCCATGGCTGCAAAGCCCCTTTCACATGTTGCCTGCAAAAGGGACGAGGGGAAGAGGTTGGCGCAGGCACGCAGGGCCGGTGTCACAGCGGTGGTGAGCCCACCAGGAGCCACACGCCAGCGGGTAGGTGGGCACTCCAGTTTCATCATGGGGATCTTCTCCCTCCCCAACCATGGAGGAGCCAGCCGATGATGGACCTTGCAAGGTCAGGGCTTCTCCTGCAGTCGCTTGATCCCTGGTAGCTCCGGTGAGAGGGAAGAATTGGGGTAAGACCCAACTGGGGAATGCAAATGTATGTTAAAAATAACCAAAAAAAAGCCTACTGTGCCCCTTCTGCTCTCTTTTGCAATGCCTGATTTTACGTGGCCACCTCTGGGGTGGAAAACGAATGACTCATAACAGCAACAGGACCTTAATTCTCAACCGACTATCTCTTCAAATGCTGCACGGGCAATTATTTGCTAATTGAATTACTAGGAGTGAACTTAGGCCAGGACAGAGGAGCAGCAGTCTGGGGACTCAGGAGGCGCCAGGGCTGAGACCCTCAATTCCAGCCCGGTCCTGCCCCAGGCACAGACCCCGCTCCTGCCTTCGCAGGCAGACAAATGCAAAAGCCTGTTTCCAGTTCAGCCGCCAGCCCAGCCGCCCCACCAAGCACATCAGGATCCCGGACGGACACACGGCTGCAGGACAGAGGCAGGACAGCAAAGCCACAGGCAGGCTGGAGCCATGAGCCGGGAAGGGGGACGCGTTGGGGACACGGTGCCCCATCAGACATCTGGGGGCAAAACCTGATGCCAAGCACCGCACTGGGCTTTTCTCCCTCTTAATGTTACAGGCTGGCTTTATTTCCTGATTTCGGTGGATTTCTTCTTGATTCACACTCGTGTTTTCCAGGGGAAGCCAGAACTGTTACCTAGGGACCACTGGGACTCCACGGGAAACCGAAGGGGGACAAATTCACTCCTCCAGTGACAAAAGTGCTCACGACAGTCTGACACCACTGACCTACACTAACTACTCCTCAGCATCACTTTGTTGTCTAATGCTCCGTAACCTCATTCCCAATTTTCAGCTCTGGTGCTTTTTGTTTTTTTCCCTCTCCTTTAAGTTTTAATCCTGAAGGCATTCTTCACTTTCTCAGCCTTGGGTTTTTTTGAAACTCGTAACTCAGTGCCGGAACCTGTCTGGACTTGGCTGATTACAGAGTGGCACAAAGTAGCCTTGCAGGATTTTTCATTTACACCTCTAACGCTGGAAGAAAAGGGTGAATCCTCTGCCATAGGTCTGGCTGCAGAGTCAGTATTTAATGTATTGTAAATGCATTGCTATAAATCCAGGACATTTGAACATGTACAAACCAGTATCTCCTGTTACTGATGTTACATTCTCCATCAGCTTCAGAAGAGAAGAACTGAGCACATTTTAACCTGTATATCGGACAGGTTTGCAATCGCCTGGTTCGCTTTCTAACCAAGGGAAGTTTCTATTTTGCTGTCCGTCCCTCTGCTTCCCACAAAGGTGCACAGACAGACTGGTTCGCCCTGCTCTCCTCCCAGACCCCTCTGCCCAGAAGATGCTCCTTGCCTTCCCACCAGGCAATCGGCAAGTTTTGGCATAGCGAAGCTGAAAACACAGGCGGGAGGTCAGGTTCATTGCTTGCTGTTATTTTTCAGCCTCTGTTTTGGTTCTGGCCTTTTTGCTTCTTCCAAAGCAAGAACATCCCGCAGTGCAGGTGACCCTGTTTGGTGCCTGGCTTGCAGGACAAGGCGTTAGTGGTGTGTCCTGCTGCCCTGAGTGGGGGGTTCAAGAAGGACTTTTCCTTCCTGAGGGTTAAGATGGAGGAGAGAGCATTCAATGAACACCACCACTTCACTCCGATCTCCCCAGCGGTTCTCCCTCCCCGGACACCCGATTCACCCCTGATGGGATGCAGCAGAACTACTGCTCTCCCCAGGCTAAAACCAGCTTTTGGCTGGAGCTGAGCCACGCTTTACCCCCAGCCCAAATATGTGCTGAGGATCTCGTGGCTGGAAGCAAGCTCTCCCACATTTTTGCTGACTCTGAAGAAGGACTGCTCCATGAAAGCCTCACCGGCGTGGCCTCTGGACGCGTCCTGCATCACTGCCCTTTCAGTTGCCTGTTCAACCTGGAAGCCTCCCTTGGTGCTGCCAAGAATCCTCCACTGCCCTAAACCCACTTCCTAACTGGAAATGCTCTCTGATCAAAAGCAAAACACCAAATCCAAGAGGGTTTTTTTAGGCACTGTACCATCTCAGGCTAGTTTTACAGCCAGTCTGACTGGTGGAGCAATCTGAAGGATGGCATTTCATTGCCAGTGGGTTTTTCTGCACCTAGCCTGGCTTTCCCGTACCTGTGCACTGTTTGTTGTGTAAGGAATCGCTGGTGTGCAACACCAGGGTGGTCCTCCTCGCCGCCTCGTGCAGAGGAGCTTCGCTTTGCTACAGAATTTGCCATCTGTCTGCAGCTACTTTCCCCAAGAACATAGATTTTGAGAGCATTAAGTTTCCACTTCATCCTATGTTTTTGAGGGCAGCAGAGACAGACTGGAGATTTGACCAGACTGGGAAAGACAGAGTTGAGGAATGTTTTTAAGGGGAAGTCACGAACAAAATGTACACCTCAAGTACAAGGAGAAACACTATGGTCTTCATATTGAAGGAGAGCGTGACATTATCAGGCTACTTTGAACCTCTCCCTCCCTCTAAATGCAGAGACTGCCTCCAATAATCAACCCTCCCACTGAGACCAAGCCCTCAGCAACGCACTGAGAATACCCCAGCATGGAGAAAAGGGCAACTCCATGCCTTACAGAGGCCTTTCTAACACTTTGGGCCTTGCTTCGGCATGCTGGCTCTTTCGGGGAACGCCGCTCGGTTCAGCAAGCAAACCCCAGGACCGAACGCACCCTCCTGTACACTCAGCAGCGTAAAGCGTAAAGCATTAAACGTATCAACACCTTTAAGTTTTCAAAGTCTTTCTGGTACTTTTCCCTCAAGGTAGAAGCGTTCCCCTCCAGATGCTTGTTCTCCAGCTCATCCCTCATGATGTTCATCTGGGCCTCCAGCTCCTGGATGCGTTCCCTCAGGCCGTGCATGGAGTCCAGGTCACCGCCGGGGCCTTGCCCGGTGCCACCCGCCTCACTGGCCACCCAAGGGGCCCCACCGCCCGGGCCCGCGGCGGGGGACGTCTCTGGGTGCTGCCTCTGGTACTCGTCCAGGGTCTCCTGCAGACGCTGCAGGTTCTGGCTGTAGTGCTCCTGCAGGGCCTGCAGCTCCTCGCCGTGGATGACCTGCAGCTCCTTGATCTTGACCTGGAACTTGTCCTCTAGCATTTGCATCTGCTCCAGGTGATACCGCTCCATGTTCTGCTTGTCACGGACAATGGCATCCAGCTGGTTGAGGCCCTCCGTCCTCTCCGCCTTCAGAGCATCCTCTGTCCTGTTTAGTTGCTCTATCACGTTTCGAATCTCCTCCTCATACCGTCCCTGTAACTCGCTCAAACTCTTGCTGTGTTTACGCTCTTCTTCCTCCAAGAGCCTTCGCTGACTGTCCAGCTGGGACACCTTTGCTTTGAGATCGGCGTTCTCCCTTTCAAGCATGGCGATCACCTCGCCGTACTCACCCTGCTGCTTTCTAAGCAAGTCTTCGTACTCCTCCCGAAGGAGAGCGACCGTCTTCACGCGCTCTTGACAGAGCGCATCCATGCTCTGCAAGGACTCTTTGTAGGACTTCATCTCTCTCTCGTACTCCAGTCGGACTTTGCAAGCGGCGTAACAAACCTGAGCCTGAACAATTGCATCGTGGACTAACAAAGAGGAATACCGTTCAAGGTCTCCCATGCACGAGTGATATGAAAGACTCTGAGATATCTTCAGGAGCTTCTGACAGTCTCTCATTGCCTCCTCAGGAGGCAGAGAGAGTAAGGCAACAGATATTTCCTTCAGAACATTTGATTTGTCCTTTAGTTGTTGGGCAAGATCTTCCTGAATGGAAACAAGAGCTTCACTACTATGGTCTGGCAGGCTGTCAGTCTCCTCCACCTTGGCTAATTCCTGACACGGCACCATTTGGAGATGGCTCCCGTTCCAGGAGACCTGGGTTCTTTCTGAAGCATCTTTTTGAATTTCAAGTGCTTCAGAAATCTGGTGCATAACTCTGTCAAAATCAGGAGTCCTGTACGCTTTGATGATCTCCTCCAACATGCATTTATGCTGCTGGAGAGCTGTTTTGGTATTATGGAGATCTTCTTCGATTGTTTTTAATCTCTGATGAAAAGACTCTCTCATTTTCTGTGCGACAAACCCAAGTTCTGCCTTGATCAACGTAGCATCTGCTACAGCACTGAGAAAACACGGAGAGAAGCCCAAACCTGTTGTTTCTGTTTTGCCCTCGGCTTCTCCTTCTCTGGTGCTCAAGTGCACTCTCAGCTCCTCCACCTGGCTCCAGAACTCCCCTTCCAGCAGCAGCTTCTTAGATAGGACGCTGGCCAAGTCGACTGCTGTATGAGAAACATTTGCTGGCTCCAACAAAACCACCTCAGCTGTTCCCTGGATCTCTCTCAGAAGCCGAGATATCTCAGAGCTTGCATTTTTCAAAGAGTCCGCTATTTGGTTGATGAGAGAGGCCTCAAATGCCACTCTCTCAGAAAGCCATCTCAGCTGGCCGGCGTCAAACATTTCCGCTCGCTGCTCCTTGGAGACGTTCTCCCCTTCCCCCAAAAAACCTCCTTCTGGAGCGGGGCTTTCCGCGATAAGGCTGATATCACTCTGCTGATACTCCGATAGGACTGGCGTCCCTCTCAAGGCTTGGATTGCGTTTGATAAAGTTGTTTCCATGCTGGACAGAGTAACAAGGAACAAATCCCCCTCTTTTTCCTTGTCCGATTTGGGCAAAGACCTCAGTTGCTCTCTGCACTTCTCTAAGCAAGTCAGCGCTTGATCATTTTTCATTTGGAAACCTCCCAGCTCGCTAACGTGATTTTCTATGAGCTTGAACTTTTCCTGCCTCTCACTCTCCAGCTGTGAGATCAAAGCACTGACTTGGGATAAGCTGGTCTGAAGTTGTTCCCGCAGCTGAGACTCTGTGCTGGCCCACTGATGGTGGAGGGCGATGAGCGTCTCCTGATTATGGCCGTGCTGGCTTTCAAGCTTCATTGTTACATCTTTGAGTTTTTCCTCTGTAATGTAAAGTTTGGTTTCCAGGGAATGGATGATTGAGAGATAGGTCTCAGAGTCGCTTGTCCCTGATGACGGGTAACCAAGAGCTGGCTCTGATGACATGCTTTCTTCAGACAGCGATCTGTCTTGGCTCGTGTCTGAAGAGGTACTGCTTGTCCAGTTTTTCTCCGATCCGTCTGGATGGATGTATTTTTGGCACTGGATGCTCGAGAAACGGATTCTTTGCCTCTTGGCCCCCATGATTCCTACATCAGTCTTTGCTAAGGCTTTCTGAACCAACTCTTGGTCCTGAAGCTCTAGAGCTTTGGACGGGGAGCCAAATTCCTCCACTTGCCTCTGGCTGGTCTCAAGAACCTCATCCTCCTCCTCCTTCAGTGCGTAAGTCAGAGCTGGGAGGACATCCTGAGTTTGCAGAGGCTGCCCCAGCTGGGACGGATGACTTTCGTCAGCCTCGAGATTAGGGCCAAGGTCTTCCACCTCCTCAGCACATGGACCTGTGCCTACACTGGCTAATTTCTTTAAAGCCTCCTCCTTGGCCTTTAGCTTTACCTTAGTCTCCTCTAAACTGCTATCTAAAGCAACCATTTTAACCAAAGCCTCGCTGAGATCTTGATCTTTCTTCTCCACAATTCTCAAGTGCATTTCCTTAACGTGTCTCAGCTCTTCTTCTTTTTCTTTCAGCACCTTCTGCACACCCTGGAACTGATCCGACACCTCCTTGAACGATTGCTCCAGATTGTGATAGTTGGTCTCTTCCATTTTCAACTTTGCTTGCAGCTTTGCAACTTCGTTATCTGACTCGGCAACCTGATTCATTAGCTCATGGAATCGACATTTGATCTGATCTCTCTCTCTTTCGAGCTCCTTGATGTGCTCTGCAAGTTTCTGGATGCTGGCTTCCTTCATCACCAGCTGCTCCTCCAGCTGGTGGACAAGCTCGCTGCCTTCGAACTTTGCACTCAGTTTCTCCTTCTGCAGAATCTCCATTTGCTGCTCGCTGTTTTGCAGCTGGTTCTCGTACTCGTTGGCCTTATCCTCCACCTCCTTCAGACTCCGTATTAAAACCTGCTTTTCCCTCTCACAGCTCTCCAGCAAAGCCTCGTAATTCTTCTGCAGCTTCTCCTCCATGAGGACCCTCGTTTGCTCGCTAGCGTTCAGCTGCCTGCTCAGGTCTGCGATCCTGTCTTGGAGCCGCTGTACCTCCTTCTGATGGTCCCTCTGCAAAGCCTGCTGCATCTCCAGGTCCCGCAGCTCCTGGGTCTTCTCCAGGAGCAAAGCCTCCACGTTCTTCAGCTTCTGCTCGCTGGCCTTCAGCTGGGAGCTGAGCGTGGCCTCGCCGTGCTGCCATTCCTCCAGCTGCTCTTTGGCTTTCTCTTTTTCGCTCCTCAGGTCGCTCTTGAGCTTGGCCAGGGTCTGCTCCTTGATGGAGAGCTCGGCCGCCGCGTTACTGAGCCTCGCCTGCAGGCTCTGAATCTCAGCTTCGTGGTGCCGGATCACGTCCTTGGCCTCGGCGTAGCTACGCTTCAGCGACTGAATCTGCTGATTGATCAGCTCTTGACGCTGGCATTGGGCTTCCAGCTCGCTTTGGAGGTCTTGGTTGACTTTGTGGAGCCTCTGCCAGGCACCTGATGGCGAGGCGGCCACCTCGGTCTTAAAAAAATTGATTAAATACTAGATTAGTAACACTCTTGGCTCTCCCTTCTGAGTGTCACACCTCTGGCCAGGCAGGCCATGGAAAAGCTCCTCGCAGCGATTTGGCTGCTACCCACATGCTCCAATTGGGATGATTTGTTCTTGGCACAATTTTGTTTGGTTGGTTTAACCAACTTTTTTTTTTTTTTTTGAATGAGCAAAAATTGCTTTCCAGTAACAGAAAACATGGACCACAACATCAAAACAGCTGTACAGTAACAGGCTAAAAGGAAAAAAAAAAATCAAACAGAACCAAAAAACAATGAAAAAGAAACACCAGCAGTAAAACAGAGACGGACAGACGAGAGAAAAACGGGAAGGGTGAGGAGGAGGGGATGAGAACAGGTCGAAAAGAAAGGAACTGCTTTTTTAGGATGTTTGCTCGTTTTGTTGTGAAACAAAAAGTGCACAGTTCAGGTAACAACAGTCCTACTGACCAAAAGCAACAACAGAAAGTGAGATGACAGCAAATGACATCACATCCCACCCAAACGCAGGGAGACAGGACAGCCGGCGTGGCGATGTCATTTCTGTGACTACCAAACAGGACTTAGTGGCTGCTCGTTGCATTAAAGAGATGTTGTTATGCTAAAGTTTAAGACTAGGGAGGATCTAATTTCTCTACCTGCAAAAAAAAACAACAAAGGACAAAATAAAAAGCCCGACAAGTGAAGGGAGGGAAAAGGTGCGATGAGAATGTAAAATAAAAGAAACCAACCTTTGTGAGATTCAAACCAAAGCAATGTAGCATGCAAAGAGAAAACTCACAGAGAGAGTCATGCAAAAGGCGACAGAAATTATGTATCTTTTAAAAAAATACACAGACAGGAAGAGGCGAGAGAAGCACAGCGTGAAGCCTAGGAATTTGGCCTGCCCTGCTGTACTTTGGTTGCTGGTAGGAAAGCCCACAGATGTGACACTCAGTTATGTTAAGTTAAATTTCATGCTTTACACCAAAAACATGCAAGAATATCCGCCCAGGACAGGTTAGTACGTGACCCATCCCACCCACCACGACCAGAGCTGGGGGACATCTCCGGTCCATTGGCGAGGAGCAGGAGCCCTTGCCATTTCTCCCGGTAGGATTCAAAGTCGGGGTGCCCCGTCCCGAGGAAGCTCAGAGCGAGAGAGGGGTTACACGAGGCCAGAGAGGCTTCGGTGCACGGCACATGCATCGGGCTGGGTATCTCAGCGGCTGCCTCACGAAACGCGTAGCGTCTTTTATGTCGGGGCAGTGCTTGGGGGTCTGTACGAGGCTGGTCATGCCACCAAGGAGGGGTTGGTGCCCCCTGGGCAGCTCAGGAGTGAGGGACTGGCAGCAGTCAGGCTCCTTCATCGTCCCTCCCCACAGACAATGTAGGAAACTCTCTGAAATTAGGCATGATGGAGGTGGGGGGCACATGAAATTCAGAGGGTCCATCCAAAAAAAAAGCTGTGATGTTTGCCCATGATCTGGGACTGCAAAAAAAACCCCTCAGCAATTCCACTCCCTCCACCCCAGCAGGGTTTGGTGGGGCTACTCCCTTCTGCCTCAGGACTTTAATCCCTCTGCTACAGGGGAAACATCAGGGAAATCCCCAGAACAATTAAACTGGAGCAAGAAAAAGCCTCCAACCCTTCCAAAAACCCTGTCCAACTTTTAGGTCAAAGTCTGGGTCACTTCTCACTGCAGCCATGATTTACTCAGCCCTTCTGCAGACTTCCCCTCCTGCCCCTCCACCTCGTATCGAGGCACTACGGCCAACTTCAACACGGTCAATCTGATGCTGGATTCAGCATCCAGCTTTTAGCCCCATTCCCTGATTTTTCTGGGCTCCAGGCAAAGGGAGGTTGGATGCCTTTGCCCCAGGGAAGTGGGAGTAACTGTCTCTTCCAATACTGCCAAGTGAAAATGGAACTCCTCCAAGCAAGCACTGTCAGCTCGGGGACTCCAGAAATCAATGCATTAATTGACTGATCTCCTCCAAGGAGATCACCGGCAAGGAAGGCAAGATGCTCCTTTACCTGGGTTGGCTCCACTGCCTGTGCGACTTCTTCAGGGGAAATTTCTCCCATGAGAAATAAGGACGCAAGGTTCAGTGTCGACACCGAGTTTGCTGCCACGGGAGCACAGCGTGTGGCCACGCACGGCCACTTTGATCCAGAGCCGGTTTGGCCAAGTAGATTTGAGCAGGTCAAGATGTTGCCCCTGCACAAAACAGGACTACGGACCCATGAGAGCAGCCAGAAGCTGCCTGCAGGCATCACGGCTCCTCCCAGCACAGATGCTCCCAGAGGAAGGGCTGCAAAAAGTCCACTTTGTTTGGAGGAGGGGAGGAAAGGCTTCCCAAGAGACTCTCCCGTCTCGTTTGCCAGAACCTCCAAAACACACTCCTAGGCTTTGCCAAGGAAAGGCATCTTGTTACAGAAGAAACCACCAAAGTGATCCAAGACAACAGGTTGTCCCGGTAGAAATCCCACCGTGGCTGAGGAACGTGCCTGGGAGATACACCTGCCTGTGCTGTGTTTGCCCATGTAACTGCCACACAAACTCCCCGGCCAGGAGCAACTGCTGGGCTACGAGATGCTTAGAAAGCCTTATGTGCACCCCACCTCCTGTGGGGAATAGCTGGGGCACAGAAAGTGGGAAACAGCTGTTGCATAGGCAAACACAGTACAGGACGGCTCAGAGGTGGGCTTTGCTGAGGTCCCATCTGTCTACCATGGCTGTGGTTTGTCTTCCCTCGGGGACGCTAGTAGGTAATGCTCTTTTCCGTCTGTTGCATCCCAGAGCAGAGGGTTTGTTAAGCAGATGATTCTGGTAAGGCTACAGAACTAGCAATATTTGCAAGAAGGTCAAATCTCTTGGATCCCACTCAGTGGTGCACATCTCTGTGTCAACCAGGATGCCCCCACAAATACCCTGGACTGAAGGCCACCAGGGTCCCCCTCGGGCACAGAGGAAGATGAATTTCTCTCTCCTCCCTGCTCTCCTACCTGCAACACGTAGCCCTCCCGGGCGCTCTGCTCCCGGCCCAGTGCCACTTTCAGCTGGTCCTGCAGGTGCCGGTTCTGCTCCAGGAGCTCCAGGGCCTCCTTCTGCTTCTGCTCCAGCTGGAGGGACACGAACAGAGACAGCGTCCAGGGAGTGGGCAGGGGGTCGGCCATAAGGAGCAACTGGCTCGGAGGGGACGTAGAGCAGAATGAACGGGGCTTTTGATGGCACCGCTGCTTTGCTCTGCTTTGGGATCTGGATTTCATTTTGCTGGGCAAAATCCCTCCCCCCTGAAAGAACTAAGTTACGCATTACTTTAATTCGTAAAGCTCACTGCAGCAAAGGATGAACGGCACCAGCTCGTGCCAGGCATGACCCTGGCAAATCTCAGCCCAGTTCAGATCGGCGATACTCCTGGTTACTCCACGCCTGCACCCCTTTCAAGCTAATACACCTTAATCCCAACTAACAACAACCTTTGTTATTCCAGGCGTGGACCTCTTCCAAATGAGCTGAGTCTCCTCCTTTCTTTTCCTAAAATCTTAAGATTGTTTGATGCAGGCTGCACAAAAAGGGAACCTTTGTGGTGTGTCCTACAAGTCATGCCAGATTATAGTTTTGTAGACATAACTGCAGACCCAAATCTCTATAGCCGCAGAGGCACACAGAATTATGAGCTTGAATTTAGAGTCTGGTTGATACCCATCAATTGTACCCGTCTCATCAGAGGCAGGCTGGCTAACAACCAAGAGAAGCGTAGGCTGTGTTGGCTGGGAGGGGGTAGCGAAGTACCACTCTTGCAAGAACAGCCCTTTCTGCAGCCGTGGGAACACGAAAGCTGCTGGCAGGGCTGAACGGGAACGGACACAGATCTGTGCCCTGCCAGCTCCCCAGGGGACCCTACAGCATCCCCATTCGTTGCTATTATGAAGCAGGAATAAATGCAGCTTTTTTAGAGCCTCAAGCTTCCTACAGTTACTGCACTGGCCTCAAGGCCATTTCTGCAGGCAGCCTGCACCCCACGCACCCCCTTTACCTCCTTCTCCAGCAGCGTGGTCAAGTGCTGCTTTGTCAGCCCCTCATCCCGGTCCTCAGCGTGGGCGAGGTGCAGGGGCGTGATGGGGATCTGCTTCTCCTCCCGCAGGGGGGTGGTCTCCACCTGGTGCCAGCGCTGCTCGATCTCCACGTGGACGTTCTGCGGTTTGATGTCCACTGGGACAGGCAGAATCCGGTCCACTTCCATCCTTAATGCCTCTTCTGACCCTGCCCCGTCCACAGCATCGATCATCTCAAAGCGCTTGCGTCGCTCCTCCCGACGCCGGGCCCGCTCCCGCTCCAGCTCTCCCAGGTCGGCATCGGTGGCACCGGCGTCCCTGGGGAAGGCGGCAGAGCCGCTGTTGGAAGAGTCTGCAGCGTTTGCACGCTCCTGCGCCAGGGCTTGCTGGATGGGGCGAAATTCAGCCCAGTCAAAGGTCTTGGACCGTCCTTCTCGCCGGCGCTCCCGGGCACGGCTCCGCTTCTGCTCCAGGTCCAGTTCAGCTTGCTCCGCATCCGGCTTCTCGCTCGGCTTTGGACCAGTCTCGAAGGAAGAGCTTGTTTTGCTTTTCTCTTCTGGCAGGGAGCTGCAAGGACAGACAGAGGGTGAAGGAACGCGTCAGCGGGTGCTCGAGATAGCCAGGCGCACCCATGCATGCCTCAAAGAGCGAGGTGGAAAGGGGCTGCTGGAAGCCCAAGCCAACGCCATGGGGGTGCCCCCCTGCCCCTCCATCTCCTGTCACCTCTCGGGCACAGGAGCCACCGCTGCCCTTCCCCGGGGTCACGCTGGTGTGCAAAGCCTTGCTGCAAGCGGCCCTGGCTGCTCCTGGGCACCCCCCGGCCCCCAGAAAGCGGCCGATCCCGACCTCGCTCCTCCTTAGCAGCTGTCCTGGGGCCAGTGACCACGACCCAGCAGCAGCCCGCAGCCGAGG